GACGTGGATATTCAATCCTTTTTGTTCTTTGCATGTGGAAATGTTTGTCAAGTTGATATAAAAAATAAAAATTTTAAAACAGATAAATTGTGATCTCTAAGTACTAAGTAGATTGAAGAATAAGCGTGATATAGTAAATAGAGCTCTTGAGTGGAAATCGAGGAGACTTGGATTCAGTTTCTGTGCAAGTCATTTAACTCTCTGTGCCTCAGTTTCCTTAGCGTTGCATACAATGACTTCCAGGTTCCCTTCAACTTCTAAATCTATGATTGTATGACCTTAAAAAAGTGTCAACTCTCTCCTAGGATGTAATTTACATAGAATCAGTATGAGAATGAGAATGAGAATGACAAGAACACTTGACTTCCTTCAGAAGACTTGAATCTCCATCGGCATAGTGGATAGAGCAATGGGCATAAACCCAATCAGGAAGACCTAGGTTCAGATCTCACCTCAGATCCTACCCATAAATCACTTAATCCCTTGACCTCCATTTACTTATCTGTAAAATAAGGGGATTTGACTCAGTGGCCTCTATGTTCTCTCTTACCCCTAAACCTGTGATCTGTAATCCTGTGATCCAGTCTTGCATCCATCACTTAATAGTTTTGTGACCATGGGAAAGTCATTTAAACTCCTGGGACTTAGTTTTGTTAACTCTAAAATAGGGGTGGGGTAGATTATTATCTACAAGGTCATCATTCTACATTTTATAGGCCATGGCTAGGAATGATAGCTAACAGAGTCAGGATCCAAAAGAATCTTGACAGATTAGCCCAGAGTATTAGGATTAATCCAATAAAGTTGTTTTCAGTAGAAATAAATGTAAAGTTTTTCACTTGGGTACAAAAAAAATCAGTTTCACAAGTATAAGATGAGGGAACCGTGGTATAATACAGTAACCATTCAGAAAAAAGTTCTGGAGCTTTTTGAGAACTGCAAGCCCAGTATGAGTCAGTAGTGTGACATAACAGCCAAAAGAGTTCATTCAGTTTTGAATTGTTTTTAGAGAGATATTGCTTCCAGGAACAAGGATATGATAGTTCTATTATTCTGATGTTGTCAGACCTCAGATGGAAAAATGTGTTCACTTCTGGGCATCACAGTTTAAGAAAGGCATTGATAAGCTGCAGAATGTCGTAAAGAGCTACTAAAATGGTGAAGGGCCTTGAGCCTGTCATACAGGAAATGGTTTAAGGAACTATGAATGTGTTAGCCTGAAGAAGAGAAGATTTGCAGGGTGAAGGGAGGGGGTGTGTTGTGGAATAATTCTGTCTTCAAGTATTTGAAAGGTTGTGTTGTGGGGGAGATATTAGACTTGTTCTGTTTGGCCCAGAGGGTAGAACCACAGGCAACAGGTGAGTGCTGCAAAGAATCCAGTTTAGGCTTGACATCAGGAAAAACTTCATAGCAATTAGAGCTGCCCAAAAGTAGAATGAATTGTTTCACGAGTTGGTGGACTTTCCTTCCTTCGAAGTTTCCAAACAGGCAAGATTGACTACTTATCAGGTTGTGTTATAGTGGGGATTCCTTTCAAGTATGATGGCACTAGATGGTGGTTTATATCCTTTCAAACACTCAGTTTCTTTCATTCTTTTCCCCTTCCTATTTAAATTAAGTTGGTCTAGTGAAATCTAGGATAAACTGAAATTTTTGACTGACTTCCAAAGCAATTTCACTTCTTAATAAACTTTAAAAAAAGGAAGCTCGGCATTAATAATGATAGCAATAGACTTCCAACCAAGATGGTTGCCTAAATGGAAGCAGACCTACCTCCTCTCACATACCCATTACACTGAAAGCCTGAAATTCACACCAGACTAAATGTTCAAGAAATCCAATGAGAAACTGTAGTCACTGCTTAACCAGAACTGCATAAAAAGTCAGCTCTAAGCTCACATCCTCCAGCCATGACCAGAGATAGCTAGCAAACTTATGTCCAGAGGCAGGGAGAGTGAACCCTTGCACCCACTCCAAGAAGGTCTCAGTGGTCAAAAATCACCAGGGTAAAGAGCAGCAAAAGTAGTACAGCATGCCAGCTTTCAGACTGGAGCAACCTGGGGAGCTCTATGGGCTCCTTAGTATTCTGGTTGAGACATCGTAGAGGGTCTAGAAGATGAAGCACTCTAAATCTAAAAGATTCATATAGGACTACTATATGAGGAGGTATGTACCTCCTATACCAGGAGGTAGAGGTCAGCATAGGAACCCAGGAAATTCATGTTTAAACCAAGCAGGATTGACCACCCCACCCAAAATTATAGCAGGGGGTGCAGCTTGGCCCTGGCACAAAGCATCAATCCATAACTAAAGCTAGAGAAATAAGTAAACAAAAGATAATATCTTTTGTTCAATATCAGACCAATATAAAAAATTATCATAGATCAGGAAATCAATATAAAAACAGACAATGAGAGAATAAAAACTGTAAGCAAAGGTTCAAAGAAAACAATGGGTTTTCCACAAGAACTACATAAATACCTAGAAGAAATTATAAGGAGATAAAAATTAAATATAAGCTCCAGAGGACAAAATTTAAGGAACAAGAAATAGAACATAAGTTGTAATTCTTACCCAAGAAATGTACTCCCTTAAAATTAGATTAGACCAAATATAAATTAATGGCTACATGTAACAGCAAGAAATAATAGAACAAAATAAAAAATATTGGAGAAGAAAAGTAATACACCTATTTTTTTTTTCAACCTACCTGGAAATCGGGTAAAGAAGAAAAAGTTTTTTAAACAGTGAACTTACTGAAACTTACGATTGTTTTTGTTTTTTAAAGAAAGAGCCTGGACTCTGTATGTTTTGAGAAATCATAAATGAGAACTGCCTACACCTATTGGAACCAGAGAGCAAAGCGAAGATACAAAGAATTCACTAATTACTACCTGGAAGAAACCATGAAAGGAGAAGTCCTCGGAAACATCATAGTCAAAATTCAGAGCTCCTAAGTCAAAGGAAAAAAATACTTTAGGCATCCAAAAAGAAGCAGTTAAAGCCTCCCCAAAACTTCAATCAGGATCACAGTTGACCTGGCAGCTTACAGTAAATGATAGGAAATCTCTGAATACAATATGCTAAAAGGCAAAATTGGGTGGCCAGCAAAACTGAGTTTAATATTTACAGGGGAAGCAATAGTTCTTCAGTGGAATAGAGGACTTAAGAATATTTCTGATTTAAAAAAAAAAAAAAAAAAGCTGAGTAGTAACTTTGGAATTAAAACTCGAGAGTCCAGAGAAACCTAGAAAGGTAAATTTATTTGAGCAGTTGGAAAGAGCTGTCTGGTGGTGATGTACTAACATTCTAGTATGATTAGAAGAATCGTTTCCCTTCACACCTTAATTTCTTTAGAAGGTATTGAGGGAGTTTAAAAAACAAAAACAGAGGAGGTGGGGGCAGTGGGGTGAAATGGTTCTACCCTGAGATTTTCAGAAAGAGAAAGAGAAGGGAAAATAAAAGGAATACATCAATATAGGAAGAAAGAAGATCTTTCTCATAATTAGAGTCTATGAGATAAAGAGTATACAAACATGGAGGAATAGTTGGGGGGAGCAGACATCAGATGAAACTTAATCTTATATGAAACAAAGACAGGCTCAGCATATACAAACACGTAAAGAATTTGGTGTAGAAATACATCAAATTAAAAAAAAAGAAAAACAGATGGGGATAAGGAGAGAAGAGCCTATTACTGAGGAGAGAATAATTACAAACAAAACAAATGTCTTGATCCCTGGGAGGGGATGAAAAGGAAAAATGTATACAAAAACTGGAATCTAAGATGATTTCATCAGTTGGGGAATGACTGAATGAATGTGTGTATGTATAAATGAACAGTGAAATATTTTTAAGCCATAAGAAATAATGAAACATGATTTCAGAAAATCCTGGGTAGTATGAGCTCATGTAGAGTGAAGTGAGTACTGTGTAAATAATTCATATAAAGACAACATCAACATGATTGTAAAGTAAACCATCTGTTAAAGATTTATCAACGCAGTGATTAGCCATGTCTCTAGATGACAGGTGATGATGAAACAAATTACCCTTACTGAGAGTTAATGGATTGAGGGTGCAGAAAGAGACATACATTTTTTGGACATAGCCATAATAACATGGATTCATTTTGCTTGGCTTTGCTTATTAGTGTATTGTTTTTGTTTGTTTTTAATTTTTAATGGAAGAGGAGGGAGTTAACAGTGGTGATGCCGAGAGAGAGAGGCATTTAAATATTTGGTTTTTGTTTGTTTGTTTGTTTGTTTTTAATTCATAGAGTACAGAAGGAAGTTTAGAAGGAAACAACGCAAGCAAAGGCAGTCTTGAAATTAACATGCAGAATTTATTATATACTTTTAAAAAAAGTAAAATGAAATAGACTCATGGTTTTAAATATAGTCCTTTTGAGTAGTACTAATTGGAAATGCTTTTCCTTTTGATGTTTAAATTAAGAATTTAAAATCTGAAAAAGAAAGGTAGCAATAAAAATTTGTTATTAATGATGAATTACCAAGATTAAAACCAATAATCATGGTTTGTTTGGGTTCTTTTATTTCTCTGATTTTTTTTCTGTAGGTAATAGTGTTGTGAAGAAGGGAAGGAAATGTCCTTTATTATCCATCTCAATTTAGATTGATTAAGCTCCTGCTGTTGTTTTGTTATCCATTGGTTCTCTTTGCTTGATAGTCTAATAGTAAAACAATACTGCCAGTGATAGTTTGTTTCAGATTTATCAAGCCAATTTGATCCAATCAGGAAATGCCTTGGTTAGGATCAAGAGAGTCTCTTCAAGTACATAAATTACATGGTCTAAATACTAGTATATCTTTTCTTGACTACCAAATTAGAAGCTCCTGGAAGGCAGTAATAAAGTCTTCATCTTTGTGTTAGTCCCAGGACCTCCTGATTCTTTATAAATCGTATAGGCCATTAAGCCTATACTTTTTAAAGTAAAGAAATACTTTTTAAGTAAATAATGTGATCTTTTATTTCTACAGCCGAGAGACGCACAAGATTGCTGTATTTTATGTGGCCGAGGGACAAGAAGATAAACACTCCATTCTCACTAATACTGGAGGAAGTCAGGCATATGAGGATTTTGTAGCTGGTCTTGGTTGGGAGGTATTAGTTTTAAGTTTAACATCTTATAAAGGATTTTGGATTCTTTGATTTCTTTCTTTCTTTTGGGGGGGGCAATTGGGGTTAAGTGACTTGCCCAGGGTCACACAGCTAGTAAGTGTCAAGTGTTTGGTCTGAGGCTGGATTTGAACTCAGGTCCTCCTGACCTCAGGGCCGGTGCTCTATCCACTGTGCCACCTAGCTGCCCCTGTTTGATTTCTTATAGGAAAAAAAAGGTGTGTTTTTCTTCCTTGTTATGATACTTTTTTTCTTTATGTTATCAGAAAGTTCTTCTGGGGATTAAGCCTCTAAAACCTGGGGGAACTTCTGGGGACTAAATACTAAAACCACTTTCAGTCATCCTGTTGCTTCTGCTCTGAGTCTCAGCTGTCAAAACAGCAATTGTTTGGAGTGTCAGTAGAGTTGGGTCTCTTCCCAACTTTCTCACACTAGCACATAGTAGGTATTTTAAGTATGTGTGAGTTCAGTTGCAACTGGAATTGTACCACGTATGTGATCTTGGGCAAATCAATCAGTTTTCTATGCCTCCTTGTCTATTAAACAGATAATTATACCTATTTCCTAGTATTATTGTATTACTTGTGATAAAGTGTACAAATATGCTTTGAACATTATAAAATATTTATCATATAAAATCTAGTACAAATAAATTAGATTATATACAGATTATCCAACATTAACTATTGGCTTTTACCTGCAACTCTTCACAGTGTATTATTAATATTTGAAAAGTATTCAGTCTGTACTTTTATGAAATGAAAGATTAGCTTCATTTTATCAAGTGGTTAAGTCCTCTTATTTAAAATTTGTGCACAAATTAATTTGTCATTTGTCATGAAGAAAAAAAGTACTATAGAGTGCTAAGTTATTATTTTCCAACTCTGGTCAAGAGCAAAGTAGTAACACAAATTGAGGAATCATTTTAGGCTGATTAAATATCATGCACCTATTGATCATTTAATCAAAATGGCATTACTGTATAAAATTTTACCCTTAAGCCATTTCCAGTCTTTTTTTTTTTTAAACTTCCTAGCCATGATCTCTCACATGCCTTTGTAACTTGTCATTAACACCTACTGGACCAACATAGGATACCATCACTCAGCAGTTGATTTCTCTCCTAATTAGTTTCTACTAATTAAATGTCCTCATCTCAGAAATAAAATAATATGTGAATAGATGAATTCTGACTTGGTATATACTATACTTTTTTATATTTTTTTTAATAATTGAAAAATGTTATTTTTGCACTTTAAAGTATCTGTGATTTGGTTTTTTTTACATTATGGAATTTTTAAACTTTTTTGTTTGTTTTTTCTCACAGGTAAATCTAACAAATCACTGTGGTTTTATGGGAGGACTGCAAAAAAACAAAAGCACTGGATTGACCACTCCATACTTTGCTACTTCTACAGTAGAAGTAATGTTTCATGTCTCAACACGAATGCCTTCTGATTCTGATGACTCTTTAACCAAAAAAGTAAGTGTTTTTTGATTTTTGATTAAATAATAAACCTTGGTAAAAACAGATTGCTACTTAAAGGAATACTGTATATTCAGATATAAAGCATTAACATTCATAAAGCACTAGTTTTGTGTTTTTTTAATATGACTCCATTTTGTAGTGCAGTGCATTAAAGCAACTCATGGTTGACTGTAAGAAAAATATCATAATTAGGGGTTGAATTCCTGAACAGAACCTTAGCTTCAAATAAAATATAGCTATGGCCAGTAGTATGTCATAAAAACAAATATATAACAGCTACACTTCTCTATGCTAATTTAAAATAGTAAATATTTTGCTAAAGTGGTACAAAATCAACATTTTTTCCCAGTCTACAAGCATTGATTAAGCATATAATATATGTTGTGTGCTGACAAAAATTAAACATTTCTTGCCCTCAAGTAGATTACATTCAGTAGGAGGAGACATTATGTGCAAGGTTGTTAGGGGCTCTGAATTCCAAACAAAAGTTTGTACTTTATTCTGTGGCTCTGACTTCCCAGACCAAAACACTTTTCCCTAACTTGGAAGCTTCTTGAGGGTAGGGACTACCTCTCTTTTATTTTTGTATTATATACATCAGCATATAAAAATAGAACTGTGCCATTTTAAAAATTAAATTATTAATAGATTTGACATCTTAGAATTAAAGTTTTCTTTGTAATGATTTGGGTGATCTGTCTCTTTTAAAAAGCTCCCCAAGAAAGTTTGAGCTGATACATTTTTTCCCAGATAAAGTTTCTTATAGTAAGAAGAGGCATTCACAGTCATTTCACTAATCTTAGAACAGTCTTAAAATATTATAAGTAACACAACTCCTTTTAATTTTTTTTATTGATAAAGGTCATGTTGGTAAAGATGATTATAATTCAACCAGAGAAAAGCATTTTAAAAGTTAAATATAAACTTAGCATTTCTCTTTTTTACCTTCTCCTTTCTCTGCTTGTTCAAAACTATTACTGAATAAACAATATCAGGATAAATAAAGGCTAAGTTACCATATAAGACAATACCACTGTAAATTGAAATGATTCCTGTCACTTTCCACAAGTCTTAAACAGTTTCACTAGAAAGTTATAACAGAATTACCAAGCCATTAGTATCATGGTATAGAGGTAGATGTGCTAGACCTGATATCAACCAAGATCTGAATTCAAATCCCATTTCCAACATTTACTGTGTGACCTTGGGCTACTTAATGATTCAGAGCTTCAATGTCCTTAACTGTAAAAGTGGCGGTAACACCTGTAGTACCTCTCTCTTATGGAATAAAATATAATGTGAGGTATATAAAATGTTTTTGCAGCCTCAAGACTACAAAATAATAATTTAATAATCTTGTGCTTGCTATATGCCAGGCACTAGACTAAGCACTTTACAATTGTTATCTCATTTGATCCTCACTACATCCCTTAGAAGTAGGTGCTATTAAATAGAAGTTATGTCACTTGCCCAGGGCCTCACAGTAAATGTCTGAGGCCACATTTGAAGTCAGGTCTTCCTGATTCTAGGCTTGGTGCTTTATGCCATCTAGCAGCCATATAAATATCAGTTTTGTTTTTTTAAAATCTAAAAACCTTTATAAAAGATTTTGTAAAAAATAGAACAATATTCTGATTTGTCGTTGCTTCAAACATTGACAGACATGCAAAATCAATAGTGAAAGGCAGCAAAATTAAGGTTTAGATTATAATTAGAAAGTTCTAAACAAGTACCAAGGTGCAACTAGGTGGTGCAGTGGACAGAGTGCCAGGCCTGAAGTCAGGAAGACTCATCTTACTGAGTTCAGATCTGGCCTCAGACACTTGCTGTGTGACTTGGCTGTTATGAATTGCTAAATGAAGCTGGGCAAATCGCTTAACCCTATTTGCCTCAGTTTCCTCATCTGGAAAATGAGTTGGAGAAAGAAATGGCAAACCACTCCAGTGTTTTTGCGAAGAAAACTCCAAATGGGGTCACAAAGAGTCTGGAACAACTAAACCACAACAACAAACAAGTACCAGAAGCCCTAGGGATTGCCATTTGGTAATATTTGATTAGGAAAGTATGTTCACTACCAGCTATATTATTATGTAAGGTATTTTGACATCTAAATTTTTTAAAAGCATATGTGGGAGCAATTATCAAATATTTCTACCCAAGCCAGTATGATGAATTAGAAAGGGTGCTAGATTTGAAATCAGAAAACCTGGTTAAAATCCTGGCTTTGGTTCTGATATGTATGTTCTTGGATGAGTCATTTAACCACTTTGGGCCTCATATTCCTAATCAGTAAAATTAAAGAATTGGTGGACATGACATAATATTCCTTCTTGCTTCAAATCTAAAATCCCATGATTCTATGAAGTATTTTGGTGTGATATATCATAAAATATATATATATATATATTCTTCATTAGAAGATAAAACTATTAAAAAAAATGTGTACCTAATTCCCTTCAACAAAAAACGGCTTACTGCATTGGCATTTTTTTTACCAGAATTTAATAAATTCTACATTAATGATAATAAGTTGAGGCTTTGAACGTGTGTCCTATTACGAATGAACAATTGGATATCATTAAATTGTCCCCTTTTCCTTTGTACATATATCTTCAGATGTGCTAATCCATTCGGTAGACACATTAATGAGCACTGGTTGAAGTGTAATATTGGAGGAAGTAAGGCTTGTTGACCTCAGCATGGAGTTTAATACCTTTAAATTAAATTAGATACTTGACAGTGAGTATAAAGAAATAGCCATGCCTCTGGCAAACTAGAATTATTGATGTCTTTCTGTTCTTGATGTTAAACTTAGCTGGAAGGAGAGGAGGAAAGAAATCATTTATGTCTATTTTAAAGACACTAACTTTAGTTCTGACTTTTCATTTGAAATGTTGTCTAGTAATTTTGTAAAATCATTGTTTTAAGACCTTATGAAACAAACATGGCATGTAACTTTACCTAGAAATTATAAAGTACAGCATTTTTTTCCTTAGGAAGACAGACTTCAGTTTTTCAATAACATCAGGACCTAGTAGCAGTAACTTTTCTACAGATTTTGTCACAAATTGTCCAGTGATAGTCAAGTTGGGTCATTCATATGATTTCTTACACCGTGGTGCAGTATTACTGGTCAGCCACCAGTCTAAGTCATTTATCTCTATAAATTGTTTCTACTATGTAATGGAAAAAATACTTAAAAGTAATTTCCTTTCAACACCTAAAAATCAAAAGTGCTATAAACACCGACATAAAGCTTTCATAGTATTCCTTTTCATTTCTTTTTTATTTTTAAATAAAGTTTTATTGATGTCTTTTGTTTTTATATCATTATAGTTTTGCCCATTATCCCATCTTCTCCCCCTCCCGGAGAGCTATTGCTCATAACAAATAATATTTTTAAAGACAAAAAAAAAGAGAAAAAGAAGAGGAAAATATCAACACAAATGATCAATACACTGAAAACCTCTTTCATTTCTTAAAATAGAGATCTAATCACGTTGTTCTCACTTGCTTATAGGATAAAATATAAACTCCCTACTCTGGCATTTTTTAAGTCTTCACAATCTGGCTCCAACTTATCTTTCTACCTTTATTTCATACTATTCCCCTTCACCAACCACATTTTAACCATGTTGGAACTGTTAACTCAGTCTTTTCCTTCATTCTTCCATTTAAATGCATTCATGCAAGCTATCTAGTTTTAGAATATACTTCTTTCATAATGCTAGCTGTTGAAATCCCTTCTCTTCCTTCAAGAAGCAACTTACATGTCACCTCCTCAAAGAAGTCTTCCCTAATCACTCTGCCTAGAAGTGATCTAATGCCTTTCTTTTCCATCTTCCTTATAACACTTTATGAACCTCACTAATGCCCTCACAAAATTGTTTTGTTTTATACTTATTTGTACATTTATTGTAAGTTTTTTGAGGACAGGAACTCTGACATTTTCCAGCATTGTATTCCTTGCACTTAGTAGTTTACCTTGCACATAGTAGGTGCTTAATAAATGCCTCTTCTTGTTCCCCAGTTTCCCATAGAACACAATCTTAAATCCAACTTTATAGGTAAGTTAATTAGCTCTTCAAGATTTAGCTTTTGCTAAATGATCTGGATGAGATAATTGTACTTCACATTCAATTTGACTCTCATAATATATTGACTGTCTTATACTGTCAATAATATATTGACAGTATGTTTTCTGTTAAGGGGCATGTATACCCACATATATGTGCAATTTGAGTCAATTTCCTCTGAAATTCTATGAATGAAATGGAAAACAGTTGATTTTTTTCACACTTTTGTAAAAGAATCTATATGAGGTTCTGGTTTATAAATAAGTAAGTCAAAATTAGTCCTTTTCAGATCAGGGGTTTAATGGTTTGTATATCGCAAGAAACTACAGCCTGAATATAATCTCTGGAAGTAAACTCAAAAATATCTCATTGTAGAATTTCAAAGAACTACAAAGAGATATTAACAAATTCTCCTTTAGTCAAATATTTTTTCAGTGATGTCTTAATTGATTTCTTAAAGCATGATGCTGGTAAGACTATATTTATATGTTTAACCCCTAGAAATACCTGAGTAAAGTCATATGTACAAATAAGTAATCAAAACAAACTTATTCTAACACTGTTCCTTTAAACCCTAATAAATAATACCATAAATATGCTACCAGTGAAAGAAGAGTAAAACCAAAGAGTATAAATAGCTCTGCACGAATGTCTCAAACCACTAACAGAGTGTAATTGCTTATCGAGATCAGAATCATCCTTTCCATATGAGATTATCACTTAAAAGTACTTAAATACGCAAATGGATGTGATCTCATCAATTTAGTAGCTCCATTTCAGCAATGCAGATCACAACCAGTCCATGCCTGTCTGTTCTATAGAACTCTTGTCCATTCATGCTACAGTCTGCAAGGCTCTTGTCCATTCTCTCCCAAAAGTTTGCCATGGGAGATCCAACCTATGAACTAAAAATTATAA